TTACATTTTCCAGTGTGTTCGACGTATAGACGGACGGACGGTTATGTATGCCAATTGAAGCTCATGCATGAGTATATGTGTGAGTGTGTCCTCCATGCGCTTTCCAAGGTAAAAATCTCAACAAATATAAATGTGCAGATGTAGGACGGCAAGTGAGTGCTAGGTGGCGAGAATGCCGAGCTTATATAGAAACATTGAAGCTTTAGTGCGGCTGGCTTACTGTTCAAAGCGGTGTTGTACACATAAATAAATTTTATTCCCAGTGCTAGTGAGGCAAGTGCTCATACATTTGCCGACTTCAAGTGCACTAAGGTTTCAAAAGCAAATACTCTACTAAACAGAGGTTATTACCGCGACTTCTTTCCAATGAATTATTATTACATACGAGTAAGTAGTTGGATTATAGGTTAGGCCTATAAAGGAAGGAAGTAGTCCTTTATTGTGGGATAGAAGCTGGATGGTTGACGGAAGGATTGTTGGCGGGATGAGCTCAGTGATTGAGCGACAACGCTGCTTTTTTTCAACTTAATTGGCGTTCCCACAAATTAAGTAAGAGTTGTAGTGAAAATGAAAAAATAGCAGAAAACATAGAATTGCCGTTTCGCGTTTGAATCGCGAATTTTTCATAGATATAAATATAGGGACTTTAAATTTAATTTTCTGTTTTTGCAGCTAAACTCCTTTCGACTTTTGTTCTCGCTTGGTCGCGCCTCAGCTCGTATCGACTTATTTGAGGATGCATGTGCAAAAATGAGTGTTGGTATATAATTCTACATGAGAAAACGTGCAAGAGATGTATTTTATATTTTAGCAATTTTTGCCAAGATTCCATAGCATAGCGTTTGCCAACTATGTGACCTGATTTTTTCCTTCTGCGATTTTATTTATTTGCATTTTTATGTTTATTTTGTTTGGCGCTCTTTAAGCTCATATGTGCACAAATAAATATATATTTACAAAAACTCTTTTCCACCAGTTGTGTGTGGACTACGAACGGGAATGCGACCAAGATGGTGGATTACAGTTGTCCCACAATTGGCGTTGCAGCTGTTTTAAAAAGCAAATGTGCTGCATTTTCACGCAGTAGCAGAGTGCATGTGAGTTTGAATATGCAAATTTTTAAATTATCCAAATGCAAATTAAATTTAACGTAAATTAGTTGTGTAAACGAGCTAAGCAGACACTCGGTCTTTATGTACTTATGTCAGTCCTTATATCGCTTTAGCTACTTTCTGCACATTCCGCGTAAGTGGACTTAATTACCATTTCGGAGTAACTGCCCGGATGAGGACTGTTTGCGTTGTGCACTGCCCCGCAGGATAACAGGAAATTAATTGCAGTAAAATACAGTGGCTATGCAGTAAAAAAACAGTATAATAAGGACAATATTTTTCTTGGATTTGATTTTTATTAATGTTATTATCAAGTTAAATTTTTTAAGGAAAAATTAAGTATATTTTCAGGTATTGAATAGCACATCCCTCTATGTTTTATTCCTGATCCTTGCAAAATATGATCATGGAAATCTGAATAAAGCTGTAAGTTTAGCTTTTTTGATATTATATCTTATTTTCATTTTTACTCCAAGATATTGCCACTTTAAAAATATTTCATAATATTCTTTTTTATAAAAAAATGCTAAGCCGCTAGAAAATAATATTATTTTTGTTAGATTTCAGAAAATATTTTGCGAATTATGCAACAAATTTTTTTATGTCTGATGGTAAGTATTTTGGAAAAATGTTTGATTTAAACTACCTCGTTTTTTGTATAATTGTCTCGCCCTTTTTATAACTTTTTGTTTTAAAAATATTCTATTCTGAAATAGGGCGTTTGATGTCAAATTCTCGCTTGTTTGATCATCAGCGTATACAAAGAAGGAGTTTCGGATCTAACTAAATCTTGGTAGAAGGCTTTCCCTTGTCAGCTGGTTGCTTGTCAGAATTTTATTCAAAATTACCCCGAAAGAGCGCAATTTAAGCAACTGTAAACTTTTAATAATTTACTCAGCGCAAAAGCTGTATGAAGCAACGGTAAAGGATGAGTTTTGAGATGATAAGTGGGATGAAATGAAATTAACTTAAAGCATTCGCCTTAAATGCTGCAGCCGCAGACGCAGCCACAAATGCATCTGTCACCAAGCGGACACTGCACGGCTCAAACAAACAGAGACACACCGGCATATAATTCGTATATCGTACATATGTGTACGCGTTAATGCCTACATAGATACAAACAAATATATTCCGACATGCGATAAATGACATTCCTCAGTGCGGGGGAGAAGTAAACTAAAATTTATAGTCTCCACGAAATGCTGGGAATGACCAAGTAGTTATACAACGGAGCGCAAAGGGATGGGGAGGATGTGCAGCCCGATTGCAATTCCGCTAAAGTGAAGTAAAAGGAAGTCGCAGTAGACCACTAAAACGCACTGCAGATGAGTGGTTCAAAAAGTGAAAACTATACAAAACGGCGCAGGAGTATTTGAGTGTTTTCTTTGAGCCGATTTTTCTTAAAAGCCAACCACTCACTTGAAAGGGAAGTGAACGCTTAGTTTTCGGAAACATTTGTGAATACTTACATATATAGATTCGAATGCAATGTGTTATGACGACAAAGAAAATGAAAAATTTGATTTCCTTTCTATGTGGATTTAAAAGTACTCCGAAATGTACCGCTATTTAAGTGAATATGACTATATAATCTGCATCATATTATAAATCACTTTTGAAACTACTTCGAAAGCATTGCCTCATGGACTATCTATATATATCATAGTATGCGGAAATGCTTTTAGTAGTTTTATGTGACCGTAATATCCGAGTGGTTAGCAGTGCGTAGTGTCATTAAGAAGCCCCGGTCCGACCATTATCCAAAAAACGTAGAGATATAATTTAAATAAATAATTAAGTACCCCGAGTGTAATAGAAGCGACTCAATAAAAAATCCATCAGAAATTCAGAGGCGGCCTAAGACAAATCGTGGGCCCCCAATTTGTGGGAAAAACTTCAATACGAATAACAAAAATTAGAGGAGAACCTTAGCCGATAACCGATCATATATTTTTCATGAAATATTCATACAAGTTTTTCAGTTAGAAATTAAATCCCTTTGGACCTCCAGTAAAAAACAGCGGGGGATCAGCAGAAGGTAAGTATGCTATTCACGTCTTAATAGCCAGAGAGCCATTTAATATTTATCAATCGGCCTTATGCTGAATATCGTCCTCGTCAGTGAAAGTGACGATATGGTAACATTGGTATGCCGTTCAACGCCTACGTCAACTGTTGCGGTGTGCTCGTCAGCATTATCGCCATCGTTTTCTCTCGTTTTTTGTCGTCTCTTATTGCCAGTCATTTTACGGACGATCCTTCAACTTAACAGACGATGCATAAATTAAATCAAAATTAAAGCGGCTAATGACAATTGATTGAGTTCCCAACAATTTAAACATTATTGCGGTATGACCATCTGTACGGGATCATCCATCACCATACAAGGTATATTTGAAACGTGAAAAAATGCTTCTTCTTTCACCATTTTAACTATTTTCTTATTAAATTCGAAGAAAAGAATAATGAATAAAAAATAAAAAAGTCTTAATCTCAATCAATCGCCAGTAATTGTAATGTAGAATATCGTCGAACTCATACTTGGGAAGGGCTTCAGAGGTTTATTCTCAGCGACATCTCCTGGTCAATTTTCAAGCTTGAATTCTAGATTTCGAAACCTTACTATTTTCTGTTGGGAATAAAACTATTTACACACCTACATACGTATGTATACGTATGCGTAAGTAATCATATATGAGAGCCCAATAGACACAAAAAATTCTGTTTCGAATCCAATAGAAGCTTTTTTTTATAGATACATACATATGTACATGCAGACTATCATATATTTGTGAATATAGATCAAATTCGTAGAATGGTCAACAATTTATTTTTGACGGCTTTTAATTTATTTTCGGTTCGTAGTTTGTTTTCCCAATTTTCAAGTGTCACAAAAGAAATTGTAATAATCAATATTTCATTTCTTGAAATAGAATAGCAATTCTGTAATTCATATTCTTCTTCTTAATTGGCCTATGAACTTCTTAAGCGATTAAAGCCAAATCAACAATAGCTCACCAGTCAGCTGATCAGCTTGATGGCAATTAGACGCACCAACTCCTTCCGCAGTGGAAGATAGTTTTTCTTCTTTATCCACGTCATATCATGTATTGAATCATATACTTTCAAAGCTTCAGTTTCCTAGAACGCACTAGTTCTCTATAATATGTCAGCCATTCCATAAACATTGGAAAACCATACAAATTCAATATGATGTCGTCCTCGATTTTGTGTTTATTGGGAAATTACATTTAAGCATAAAATACGGAAAAAGTAGTTAAGACTCTCACATGAAGCCACACATAGCGCTGAGATTTTTCCCATTAAAATCTTTTTGAACATACCTACATACACGCATTAAACTTAAATTCATACATATTTTACTTCAAGTGTATTTTTGTATATACGTAAGAATTTTATGTATATTTCGTTTGTATGCTCCGCAGTAGTAGTGCCTAAGAAGTTGAGAGGACTTTTAAAAATCCCTTTTGCTGCGCTTAAAAGCACAGAAACTATTCGATGTAAAAATGTATGTTAAAGTTTTTACGTATTTTCCATAGAAGTTGAAGTGAATGTTGATAAATGTTTCTCCTAAGTAGTTGTACACCTATTGGTCTGTCTGAGTACTTATTCATAATGACACAAGTTGTTTTGGTAAACGGGTTTATTGACGCTGGCAGGTTTGAACACAACACTGAAGTGATATTGATATGCTTTAAATGGCATTAGCTGCTTAGCATTCACTAATATTGTTTTTTCTTACTCAAATATTTAACCTAACAAGTTTCAAATTCCAATGTGAAATAAAGAAAGTCCTTTTTGCATCATAAATAATTTTTATTATATATATATATATATATTCTTGTAAAAGCTTACAATTACTTTGAGGTTCAACTCGTTTATTAAGGAGGTAGTTGATATATGGTGAATCTTATATAATATTTAAAACTAAGTACTCAAAAAATGGCATTTGTATTTGTACATTGACGTAGACTCGCATGCAAGTGCTTGATTGTTTACATACGAGTATATACAATATATATGTATACGTATATATGTTAAAATAAAAATTTTATAAATAATTATATTTAAAAGTTCTTTAAAGTTACCGCTACTTGAACAAACTTAAGCTTAAGCACTATGCTGCTAACGCCCACAAAAGTGAAAACTGCTAAGCTCAAAAGCATGCCGCAACACTCAATAGTTTTAGGCGCAATAGCGATTTGGTAAGTTTTGTGTCGCTATTCTATAATAGGAATCTCAGAACGAGTTTTCTTGTATGCACGAAATATGTCTTTTAAATTAAATTAATTAATTATAGATGTTTCTGTAAAAGTGTTAAATGCATGTATTGTATGTATATAAGTAATTGTAAAAATTGGGTTTTAACCCTTCATATTTGTACTAAGTACTCCTTCGCTAAGTCGACAACGAAAATACTTGAAATACGAGGCTTTGGAGTGCAGCAGGGACGAATAAAAATCTCAGCCATGAAACGACGACTAAATTGTTTCCCAACTATTGCAAACCCATAGCTACCCTGCTTTTAATACTCTCACGAGTTTGCGTCACCCTCCTGGTCCTTTTTGCTCTCATCATCCATTGGCTTTTCTTCTGACTCATCGTTATTCTTTTTCGATGCCTTTGGAAATATTATGAAATAAAAAACGTATAGGTATATAATTAAGACATGACTTTCCTTATTTTAAAACAATTATCTTTATTTCCGGCTGTCTAAAACACAATCCACTCACCCGTCGCATTGGACACTGAGCAAATAAATGCTCTTCGGATTGGCATATATGACATCGGCTGGGTTGCGGTGGGCTCGGACAACTTGCCGCTATGTGGTTAAATTTACCGCAATTATAGCAACGTGGGCGTCGTTTCTTCTTCCAAAACGGTCGAAAACTACTGCCTACACAATCATGTCCTTTCCTACCGCACACCTGGGTTGCCTCCATACCACGTTCAGTCTGTCGGCAAACAAATTCGACTTCTTCTTGTTCGGCGAGTGAGCGAAAGCCAGACATTTGTATGACGCCCTACACAGTTTGGGTGAAAGAAATGAAATGTTGATAATACACAAAATATACATATATGGTATTACGAAGGGAGTGCCGAAACTTTTACCTGATGTACGAACACCTCTTGCCCCCCATCATGTGGTGTTATGAAGCCCCATCCTTTGGCAACATTAAACCACTTGCACTTTCCATAACGCACAACTCCTTTTTCGGTTAAATTGGAATCTGTAAATAAAATAAAAAGGAGATAAATAGATTTACTATTATAAATAAGAACTTCTTGGTAACTGCAAATAGCTCAAGTCATTTAATGCTTAAATATATTCGCAGCTGCAAAAAAAACTGAAAATACTCCTATGATTTTTCTGATATGTATGTATGTTGCCAAACATGTTTTATTCCCCTACCTGAAGGCTCAGGGATCATCACCAGGTTACCGACCCTGGAATAACGCAATACAATGCGAAATGCACAAGGATAATAACAACACATTCAAACAAACAAACAAACAGAAAGTGTCTTCGGCATTTGTTCATTACAAATTTTAGTTCATTTTGTAATTTTTAACCTACTTAAGACTGGTAGCCACCACTGGATTTGTGTCACAATTACTTCAATTTCTAATTATTTCACGAATGTGTTCAAGGTATTTGCTGAGGGTGTCTATTAGGTTGGTTTGAAAACAATAAAAGATGGCCTCTTCATTGGCTCATGTTTTTGATATATTTTAGATAAAAGAAGAAGCAATCTATGCATATGTTTACAAATCTTATGTTCGTGTTTAAAGACCCGCAAATCTCCAAACCGATTACCGACCGATTGGTTTGTCGGAAGGTGGATCAGCAGCTGACCTGCCTGACTTGCTTGAAATTAGGAACCTATGCACCCTTTGCAAAAAAATCGTATTTATAGCTCTTTTTACTTAAAATTCTTTGATTCATGGAAAGGACCTATTTGACCTATTTGAAAAAATATACATACATATTTATGGTTCATTTTGGGTAAGTTTTCTTCTCAAAAAAATACTTTCTTGAAGAACGATTTGTGTACGGGTAAAGAATCACCGATACTGATATTTTCGTGAAAAACTTTGACAGCGTAGAAGTGATCCACATATACAAATATGTAAATAGCTCAATAATATAAGAAACAGCTTCGAATTTTGACTTAGATGATGTGACCGGGTCTGCTAGTTTTTTACAAACACTTCTTATAAACTGGAATGGACAATTTGGTTTTAAAAATCTTCGCTTTGTGTATCTGGTAAATTTGTACGAAGCCACAAAATGAAAATTTTTGCCGGTTAAAATTCAAGCTACAGAAAAAGTTTTACAGAGTCTTTCTACGCTAATATTCAACGTAACCGGTTTTTTTTAATTTAACCTTTTCCAGTTGAAGTGTTAAGAAAAATAATATAGAACTACTGATGAAAGTACTCTTTTTCCAAGTTGGTCCGTCGTGCCCCTTGTGGAATCGGTGTGAGCGACCATCAGCTATTTTTTTATAGTGATGCCACTTAACCTATTAAGTCTTCTACTTTAAATCGGTCTATTCGAATATCTTATCTTTAAAACTCCTGCTCTTGTTGCTCCCTTAAGGCTGAATTTTAAAATTTCAAGCGCAAACCGGTTTGCAAAAAATTCTACGCTCTAATACGGAACTAGTGCGGTTGAAGGCATCATAAGACATCTTTATTTAAAAAACATTATGTTTAGTTACTTATGTACGAATGCAGGTAGTTTCCACAACAAAATGAAAAGAAACTGAAACAACTCAGTAATTATATTTACATATGTAAATTTACATTTCGAATTGAGCAAGAATTTGCAGCAGATGTGCCTCCATCAACAACCGGTTTTCTCATTCTTTAAGGGATATTTTAAGTCTGTTGAAGTTTCAGGTTTTGCTAAGTAAGTTGGAGAGCCGAGCTGGGAAAATATCCAACATTTATACTTATGATATGAGTTTTCCTCAATATTTACATTTTCGTGAAAATTTATCTATCCTCTCCCAGTAAGCGTAAGTGTGAATATTCGTAAGTGTAAAATTGTAAAAGTATCAACTACTGGGTAATTAAAATTGCACGTTGCTATGGTGAACATATGTCCCTAACAAATAAACATAATAGTGGCAAGGATATTCGAGGCTTATCTCACATACAGACGTATTCATAGAAATATATATCCTTCACATTTACAGTTACCTTCAAAAGTATTTTGCAAATCGTATTGCGTGCACAAATTCCAATATTATAATTGTTGCTAAGATTCATTTGTCTGTTAAAAGATATATTCCCTTTGTGGGCTAAAGATTAATTAAATTAATGGATGATAATGAGGAGCTTTTAGTTCTTGTCAGAAATACACTGTGAGGGCTTGACAATCACTGTCGAGTGGCGTTAAGGAGGGGTCCGATAATATAAGTGTCCTTGGCTACTTTTCGTAAAGTATATTTACCCGGGGGTAAGCTACATTCTACATTGATATATGTACATACTCGTATGTAGCTACACCCTCGCATAAGTGTAGGTTATTCAAATAGATCAGAAAGAGATTAAGAAGATGTAAGGTTCCCTCAATCACCTACATATGCAAAATACCTCTATGAGTAACTGTACATTTGGTTTGTACTTATGGTTCATTCAACATCAAGAACGCTCGTATAAAATTGAAGTACGTAAGTATATTAAAAGGCTACCGACAATCATAAAAACTTGGAAAGGAGAGGAGCAGGAGGAGTCGAAAATAAGTAGAGAGATATATTCAAAAGCGGGATATTACGGAGCGTGTGAATACTTGAGTTTTGAATTGAGTTCCCAAAAAATCCTGTATTCGTTTGACCCTCTGCAAGTGCGTGAACAAATGTAGGAATATATGAGTGTGTGTTTGAAGTGAGAAATAATGAAGGCGCCCTAAAATTGTGGAGTGGGTTCTCTAGATAAGATAGACATCCACATGTATGTATGTATGTATATTGAAATACATGAGTGCCTCATGGCATTAGACTGAGTATAAATACATATTCATTGTATTTCTGAGTGTTGAAATTTGATATTTACTCTTTAAAGCAAATAGAAATATACACGAATGTGTAGGTACACATGTAGAAAGTTGAAGCTTTTCATTCATAAAAATGTTGATTTATTGTGCATAGAAATACAACATTCTAAGAATGCTACCATGAGGGGAATGTAAGAAATTCTAATCTTGTCAAAAACCGTCAATAAAAATCATCATTTTTCAGAATTTTAAATTTTGTTGATTAAATTGAAATTTATCATAGTAATAGTTATAAAATGTATTGGAATTATGTCTGGTGTAATTAACAACTCGGCGAGATATGAAAACCATTCTCATAATTGCCAGAGTTTTTTTTTAAAGCTATAATGCAGTGACTTTTGATCGTCTTAGCATTACGTATGTTTCACTTTAGTTTTAATTAGCCGGATGCCCGATAACTCTGAGATACTTGATACTTTAAAGTGCATAATAAAATACCGATCAAAAGTGGAGAGCCCTTACCCATACGGCTCTAGGCACAATCACTAAACTAACAAATATATAATATTTTCTACACAAGAAATGAAAACTGTAAATCGATTTACGGTCATGGCTGGAATCATAGCAGCTTCAGTTATGCAACTATAAAATTTTTAGTTCCTAGGTCATGGATTGGATTGAATGAAATCGTAGAAGGCGATTGCACTATCATCCCTAAGTACCAAGAAATAGCAACCCATTTCTATATACATACATACATGTGTATATATGTATACAAATACAGACTTATGTGTATATGAATTTTTTCCGAAATTCCCACTGCAATTGACAAACACTATATAAATATGCACATTGTATATATGTATGTATGTATCTAGAAAAAAGTGCCAATAATAAATGAATTGATAGATTTGTAGCAAAAAATCAAATTTGCCTCGGACTGATTGGCTTTCGCAGAAATCAAAGTTAATAAGTGAGCCAATAAAAATTAAGAGTGTCGCTTCATCCAACGGATAAACAAATAAATAGGTTTTGTTTCGTTTTTTACGTGATATGAAACTTCTGTATGTGTACATACATATAAATATATGCAAGTATGCATGTACGATTACATACTGATGTGCATTAGTGTTTGTTTATATATAATATTTGCAAGTGTAATCTATTTTATATATGTATGCACATATGTATGTATGTATATATATGACCAAATAAATTGCTTACCTTGATTTTTATTTGAGTGAGCATCAGGCGACGGCGGATCGTTTTGCTCTGCAAGTGGTTGTTGTTGTTGTTTAGGTCTTCTATTTCTTGTATTATTATTATTGCCTCTGGCAGCTGAATCAACTGATATGCTGGGCTGTGTATCTGAAGAGACTTCGTGTGCGCTGATGTTTCCACCAGGATTGGGTTGAGGATTCAAGTTGCTGGTACTTGGATCGGTTGCATTGCTGCTGTTAGCCTCACTGTTTGCTTCCATTGTGCAAAACTCTCTGTTGTCTTTAACAGATTTCTTTATCCAATATTGTTTACAGAATTAAAAAGACTAGGAAAATAGATGATCACAGAATATACATATGTACATACATATACATACATATGTAACTAATTTGTTTTGAAATTTTTTTTATTTAAATAAATTTTTGTACTTTATTTTATTTATTTCTTTTTTATTCTGTATTTAGAAATTTTTGTTTCTATTATTGATTTAATATTTTTTAATACTTCTTCACTTCATTGTATTACGTTTTTAGTTGCTTTGTCAATACATTTACAGTTCTCTCATTTATCAGTCACTAATAAATCCGGTTTCCGCTAAGCTTCACCGACCCACTGTCCAGACGGACACGCACTTCATAACTAACGCGATGTTTTATTGAATGACTTTCTTGAACTCCAGATCTCTTTCGAACTCCACTCTCAAAATGGCAGAATGAGAATTAAAGCAACGATACATTCGATTAACTACCAATTGTAGAAGCGAACTTCACATCACTATAATCACAAAGAAAACAACAACAAAACTTTGAACAAAATGATGACGAACAGTGATGACGCTTACTCCACGACTGACGATTGACTAGAAAATGCTGAGCTAGACAACACAAATAAAACACAAATGATTAGTTGTGCCTGCCCTAAATGCTGTCGACGACTCAGTCGCTGCCGCTGCCGTCGCGCTTGGTTCTGCTTTTATGCTAGTCCACGCAGTTTGGGAACTCGAATTTTGGAAAACAACATATCAAATAAAATTCCAAAATATGTACATACTCGTATATAAGGAAGAGCTTAGTTTGGGCTAGGCAAATTCGAAAATATTTTTTAATTTCAGATATACATAAAATATATACATATACATATATACATATATGTATGTATGTTTGTGAGTGTGTTTAAATAAGGAACCCATTTCAAATGAAACTAGTTTAGCAGGCTTGGTATGGCCATAGCTTAAACGAAAAAACGTTCTTTAGTTTAGAAGAATGCGTGATATCGTCAGATACAAGTTGCATTGTACAGACCTATTCCAAATTTCTCAGAGATATTTAAACAGATGCCGAAAACAGCTTTACACCGCAGGATTAAGGCAGAGCGACAAAACAACCGTCACGTGAACAAAGTCAATATACTTTGTGGGATTGCTTAAAAACTAACATTTAACAATTCCCACATACATACATATGTACCTAATTGTATACATATGTATATGTATATGTTTGTATGTATAGTTGGTCTTTTTTAAATTCTTGTATGTGTATATGTGTGGGTATATACCTACTTACATATTTCCTAGGTAGAAAGGTGAGGGCGGTGATATCTTGCTGCTGCGGCCGTCCTATACATATGTATGTACATACATAACAACATGTGATCATACATACTACATACATACGTGTAGTGATAGGCAAGCATAAATTTCGAACTACGCATATCCAGCAACTTTATTGTACACAACGAATCATACATACATACGTATATTCCAACGTGTACATTTCCAGCGTTCAGCTATGCTCAAATATTATCACTTGGCAAAGTTGCTCAAAGATACACAAACACACGCGCTGCCCTTCTATAATATTGAGCGGTGATCGCTCATACGCATTTACCCTGAATTCGCCGCCGCGTTCATGCATTTATGTATCTACGCCGCAGCCAACGAAGCGAGCCAAAATAGACGCATATCAATACACTCACATTTACTTACTTACATCCATTTGCATTGTAATAGATTTTTTTGTTCGAAATATTCGCTGTACGTGCCTGGAATGTATTTCGATCTCAACCCCTATTTGCCTATGTTATGATTTATCTAGCCTAGACGACAATGTGCTACGCCTCTCTCAGAGGTTATTGAGAGAAATAGTGGCTTGGCTATGGGGGTGTCACTGGAGTGTTTGTGGCGAGGACAGATTTGCGCTGACTCAGCATCAAGGTGTAATTTTCCATTTTCATGCATTTCAATCCAATTTTTAATGAAATGGAGAGTTAAATTCATCTGAAATCACATGAATACGGACATTATTTGGATTTTTATTGAAATATGTGACAAATAGTTAAAATGATCGATTCGAGAATTTCATTAATTTCTTCCATATTTTCTCTTTAAAGAGCTTATATTTTTGCATAAGCCCGAATCTTCCAAGTTACTTTAAGGGAAGAAAACAGTTGTGGTCAATGGTATGCTAATGATAGGCTAGACTATAATAATAACCCTACAGATATGGTCAGACCTCAGTTGTACAAAAATGATAGAACGGTCTCCCGATATAGCGCTATTATCGCTATAAGAGTTTTGTTTGCCTAGGTGAATGGTGTTTCAATCCTGATTATAAATCGTCAAGTCCAAGTCCAGTTCGTTTAAGTGTTGCTGAAGTCGGACACACCTTTCCTGTTTAAAATATGTAACATTTTGCATTTCTTCAAACAAGCGTTTGCGAGGGGATCGCAAACTTCCATCTACTATGCAACAGTAAATATATCTTCAAAAATCGTTCGTTTCTAAATTCTTTGACAAATATTTACCCAATCTATAAATCTAATTCAATATTTCTTTAGTTGTCCCAACTTGTGCGATTATAGCTGAAACAGCAATGGCGCGCCATTCTTTTCCCTACTTGGAGACAATCAGAGATACAAAGAGCTACTAGGGCCTTCTTAGCCTGATCCTTCTTCTTCTTACTTCCGAAAACTCTCATCGTTGCCGCTTCTGAACCATATAACAAAAGGGTAGAGTTAATTTTTGTTTTTGACCTTATTAATGGTGCTAATGTTGGTGTGTAGATAGACGAAATTATCTTACCTCTTTGTCTAGCCTGTGAAAAACAGAACAAATCGCGCGGCTGACAGTATCAGCATACTGTATCTTAAATACTTGGCTCGCCAGCTTTTGAAACCTTATGTAAGTCGCCGGGGTCAACATGTCTAGCTCCTCACACTCAAGCATTTCGGCCTCGGCGATGGAAGGCATCGGAAAGCTGGAGTGTAAGTCGAGTAGAATACTTGGGGTACAGGCGAGATTAGCGAATTTAATTTAAAAACCTACGAATCGTTGGAAGATATCTGAATACTTTTATTAAATCAGATAATATAGTAAATCGTCTCTTTTGTTGTGTAGTGCTAGTGCTTCTATTGATTCTCTAATTTGGATTATAATTTCTTAATGGATACTTTCCAGAAGTACATTTTCCTCAGTCAGTCAGTTGTGGGTAATTAACAAAAAAAAACAACTGAAACACAACTGAGAACCACATAAGTTGACTTTTCGTCGATTCGAAAGAACAACAATGCCTCATGCGATATTAATAAAAATATTGGCTGTGGGGAGAGTGCGAGAATAATTGCTTTTCTATATTTTGACAGACGACGCGTTGAAAGACTTTCCTTCTCATCGTTTAATTTAGTTGACGAAAATCACTTAGGCATGCATTTGAAGGGAAGATCAAACTAGAAAACCCCGATATACATACATATATACATATGCACATACTTGTATATGAGTGTATGTACGTGTTGGTGAGTGTAGAAGAACTTTCATAGAATAATACTATTTACGCGCCTTAAGTTGGTGGCTTTAAGGCCGTGAAAAGTAAAAGGAAAGATGTTTATTGTTTGTTTTTGGTGCACAAACACTTATAATTTATTTTTTATTTAATTACTTATTATTTATTAATTAATTATTTTTTCTGTTTATATAATTATTATTGGTTTCACAAATTCTAACACTGGAGATGCCGCGATAAAATACGCCGTGCGCGCGCGTAGGTGGTTGGAAAGATTGTGTTTAAGTATACCCTTTTTTGTTAGCTCGAACTACCGCTGTTTAAACGATAGTTCGGCTAACGAAGTAGGGTATACACGGAAAGAAGGATAGCCGCGTGAAAGGAGACACGGAAGAATGGGAAACCGGAAGTTGGCGCGCACGGCGTTTACAATTTAGCTTAATGATGCGCGCTTAAACAAATACAATAACTTATTTATGAATCATCTTTGGTGGTATTTCTTATCTTTCGTCATCAGGCATAAACACATACATATGTACATATACATTTGTAAGTAGCTCACTTATTTACATACATGCATACATACATACATACATATGTACATATGTATGTACATACATAAGTGAGTTCATAAAAAACACAATTTGATTTCGAAAGTTAAGCGCACACACAATATGTACGTACATAAAAAAATACAAACAGTACAGAAGTTTCTTACATTCTTGCCGCTTTTTCGCTTTAATTTCAGGTGAGGTGATGCTCCGGAAAAGCGCCTTCATCGTCATTTTTACACGTCTTTCGATTGTAAATAGCAAATGACAACAATAATACCAGCTGTTAAAGATCAACAAGGCGCCAATAAAAACAAAAATACATACCCGCGCATATCGTACATACATATATACATTTGTGTCTACATAAATATAAATTGTGCAATCTCAGAGAGGAAGAGAGAGGGAGAGAAATGAAAACAAATTAAAACTGTTATTTGCTTGATGGCGTTGAAGTCCAAAAATACTCTCTTCAAGTTTTCGAAGCTTATTTAGAGGATTTCTTAAGATTTAGTATGCCTTCACGTTGCCATATTTTACACAGTTACCCATTCCACGCATATTCTAAACAAACTGCCAAACAAAATGAAATGCCAAGAAAATTTTTATTTCTATTTACATATATACATACATACGCACATATGTACGTAAGTGTCTATATGTATCAAAATTATATGGACATACATACATATGTTACGTTGCTTTTATTAATTTTTTCTCTTTTTCTGAATTTCATGTTTGTTTACGTTGATAAGCGCCAATACTACGAGTAAATATGCGTATACGTGTATGCTTATACATACGTATGCACACGAATAAAAAAGAAGTTGGCGTCTTTTTATGATCGTGTGTCGCTTGGATGGGGGAAACTCAAAAACGCTAATGGTGGGACACTGCGGTTAGGTGTGGAGCTTAAAATTAGACTGATTTCCCAACAGCATTTTCCGTCGCAATCGGACTGGGCCACATGTTCTTAAATTCAACGTAATTACTTTCTCGAAGGAATTTAGAATAAATGGCGAAAGAATGAATATTTTTTTCGAAATCCTGATTTTAGGATAAATTTAT